CTATAAACTTGGGTCTTAAGATCCTTAGGCCTATCCACACAAAGAGCATAAGACACAACAGAATCAAATCATAAGCACAAATGTCAAGTAATAATCAATGACATTTAATTTGAATTCATATATTAAAATCATATGCTCACAAATACGATGTCACAAGCGCAATGCACAAAATCGAAAATCACACAATGTTATGGAGTCTACTGAGGTGTGCTAGCAACACTGTACCGGAGCTAATCACAGTACTAACCCTACTGCGCAGAGGTCCACTAAATACCCTGAAGGGTCCACTGAATACCCCAAGCTTTAAGCTTAGGTCCACTTACTCCATAGCCACAAACACATACGCATGTCAAACAAATTCATAATATGTCCAAAATAATATTAGGACTTCCTATTGAAAGAGATAAAAGCATAATGCATGAACAGTAATTGTGAACAGTAATCATGAACAGTAATTGTGAACAGCATCATGAACAGTATTTCGCAATTAGTACAATTTACTTATAATTCCTGTAGCCAAAATTCACACCCAAATCAAACAATAAAAAGACTAACTCACTATCTTTCCCATATAAACTCCAAAATTAAGGATATTTCTAATAAAAGTTTAATACCCAAAAATCTTATAAACCAAAGGATTAAAGTCAAATCTCACCAATTTAAACTACCCAAAACTCTAATCCAAAATTCATAACTAAAACTTATACTTACCTAACAAAAGCACCTTAACCTTGGTGGAGAAAGGAGGAAGAAAATGATGTAGGTGGGAAAGGAAGGCATAGGAAAACAAAATGAGGCTATTGGGAGGCTTATGGAGGCTTATCCAAGCTTCCACCGACAAGACAAAAAAACTTGGTTGGGAAAATGCCATGTGGTAAGCAAAATTGGGATAATTGAGTTATGGTCATTCAACTTCTACTAAATTTTACTTAAAGCCCCCAAACTTTAAATTCACTCAATTTAATCCCTAAAACTATAAACTAAAGGACACTAATTTTTAAATTATTCACTAAAGTATGTGGGGTGTTACAGATTATACCCAGAGTAGCCATCAACAAAAGAGAACCGAGCATTTTTGGCAGCATTATCTAGCAGAGTTTGGATGTGAGGCAATGGGAAATCATCCTTGGGGCTTGCTTTGTTCAAGTCCCTATAATCCACACAAACTCTAACCCGGCCATCCTTTTTCATTACAGGAACGATATTGGCCACCCATTCCGGATACATAGCTACTTCAATGAAATTGACATCTAGCAGCTTTTGTACTTCTTCTTTGACTTTCAACAGAACCTCTGTTTTCATCCTCCTTAGCTTTTGCTTGACTGGCTTGGCCTCAGAATGTAGTGGAATGGCGTGAACAGTGATATCAGGATCAAGTCCCGGCATGTCCTTGTAGGACCAAGCGAAAAGATCTTGGAACTCAGATAAGAGCTCAATCAATTCATTTCTTTCCTCTGAGGATAGATGAGCATTGATTTTTATCTCCTTTCTATCATCTTCAGTACCCAGATTAATGGTTTCTATCTCTTGATTTGGTTACAGCTTTGGTTTTTCCTCTCTTAGCATTTGAGTTAGTTCATGAGAAGGATCGAGATTTTCATTGTCTTCTTCTTTATAGGTCTGATCATCAATCTCATATATAAAGTCTGACATGGCATCATTGTTTAAAGATTCGTCATTAGCAGGCTTGAAAATTTGGGATGGAAGTAAATAAATGGCCAAATGATAATAAAGCAAAGATAGGAACATGTTATTGGATAACATCATAAAATATATCATTAAAGAGTGGCTTGTACAATGAAAGTTCAATTAAAGTTGCATCATGATGATTTTTACAATGATAGGTAGGATTGCAACATGTTTCATTGAAAAGGAAAGCATGGGAATACTAGAAACATGATAACATAAATTTCAGAAAACATAAAAGTGCTTGTTGAATCCCCCCCTTCATGTAGTCACAAGCAGAACTACTAGAGGCTGACTCTTCTTACTCGGAGATGAAAGCTACAGGGAGAAGTTCCGCTGCCCAATTAGCTTGAGAGCTTCCATTGACCAGAGAAATTCCCCTATCAAATTCCAGTCCTTCCTCATCTAGAGCATTTATAGTCAAATTTCCCCATGAGTCACATAGTGATTCTTCTTTCACTGTTTCAAGGAGCACAGACTCATGTGGACCCACTAGAGCTTTTGCATGATGAACGAGTTGGAAGTTGGGGTGCTTTTCCATAAATGCCCTTTCAGCGAGCATCCTTCTCCACCTTTCCTTAGGATCTGTCATGTTGGCTAGCCCAAAGAGGTTGTTGAAGCCAAAACTGTCTTCCTCATCATCAGAACAGACTTCATTGGTGATATCTTCCACCACCACTTCCTCAGATTTTGCTTGTTTTGAACATTCCCCGATTTCAAGCAATCTGTCAATGAAAACAGTACCCTCTGGATCTACATATAAAACATCCATATGCTTTACCACATATCCATCAAAAGAAGGGCACAAAATCTCAACAGGTCGTGGAAATGTGACTCTAATGTGCGGCACCCACATTGGTTCATCCCTTGGGTCTCTCCCTTGAAGTCTAGCAAGGCGTTTCTCCGCTTTAACAGCACGCATTCTCTGCCAATCTTCCTTCTTCGGTTTGTATCCCAAACCAAAAGTCCCCCAAGTTTGAATTACTTCAATAGGCTCAAGAATTCTTTGTCCATTCAATCCCAAACCTTCTCCCAACTGATAATGATATGAGAGCATGATTCTAGCAGCAACTTTGGTAGGTTTACCCATTTCAACCCTTTTCCCTCTGAACCTCGGGTGAATATAAGAAGCAGCAGCACACTCCATTGAGTGATAAGAGGATTCATAAGTTCCCGGATCAACTCCTAAATAGGGAATGGTTGTAGCCCTTCGGATGACATGCTCTTCATCACCATTCACCGTGACAAGAACACCATTGATAATGTATTTGACCTTCTGATGTAAAGTGGACGGTACTGCTCTGGCGACATGTATCCAAGGCCTCCCAAGAAGCATATTAAAGGCAGAATACCCAAATCCACCCTTAAAGTATAGTGGCAGGGACGGATCCACCATCGAACAAAAAACGGGGACAAATCCACCCACAAAGTTTTCGACTTGGACAAATCACCCCAAATTTAACGTGTGACGTCATTTGACATCAGTAATCTGTTAATTTGACGTTATCAAACGTCAGGAATTCGTTAACGAATTAACGAATTGCTGATGTCAAATGACGTCATACGTTAAATTTGGAGTGATTTGTCCAAGTCAAAAATTTTGTGGGTGGATTTGTCCCCACTTTTTGTTTGGGGGTGAATCCGTCCCTACCACTATACTTTGGGGGTGGATTTGAGTATTTTGCCCATATTAAAAGCGGGAGAAATATCCATGACAAAGAAATCCACATCAAAAGTCACAAGACCAATTTCTACTGGAAGCTCAATCTTTCCAATCACATTCCTCTTTGTTCCGGCAAAAGCACGAACCACTGTATTGCACTGATTAATGTGAGATTCATCCACTTTCAATTGCTTCAAGACCGTCATAGGAATCACATTCAAAGCTGACCCATTATCAATCAACACATGAGGCACATTCATCATTCTACACTGAACTGAAATATGGAGAGCCTTGGTATGTCCATTTCCTTCATCGGGAATCTCATCATCTATGAAATTAATATAATTCGGAGCTAAAATTGCCCCGACCACAGTCCCAAACTTCTGAGTATCAATATTCTTGGGCATATGGGCCTCTTTCAAGACTCTGAGCAATGCATCAAGATGAATCTCAGATGATAACATTAATTCTAAAACAAAAATTTTTGCAGGGGTTTTGTTGAGCTATTCAATGATGCTATACTCACTCTTCCTCAAAATATTCAGAAATTCTACAACTTCATTTTCTGACACTAGCTTCTTGGGTGATTCTTCTGGTATCTCTTCAATTATGATGCCTTTTGACTTCAAGGCAGCCCTTCTCAATTCTTCCACTTCGAGACTCACATAGCACCGACCACTACGGGTCATATTGGACACATCATTGGCTGTGGAATTCAAGATGGTAGAGCATTGAGGCATAGCCATAGATGATGTCTTTCCCATGAGTGACCCACTAAGGGAGGTCTTCAAGACATAAGGTTGATTGATGACTTGTGCTTTTGTAGTATCTTGCAAAATGTAAGGCTTCTTCTTAGTGAAGTATTCTTCGGTCACTGGTGCTATGAATTTCTCCGACTCTGGAGCAAACATGAACTTCAGAGATCCCATTCTTTGTAGCTCCGTAATTTTTCTTTGAAAATCTTCACAATTTTGCAAAGTATGCCCCTTTATATTGGAGTGATATAGACACACCGAAGCATCATCAATTATCACAGGCGGAACATCCAAGCTCATTGATGCAATTGGCTGGATAAGATCACACTCTATTAGAATGGCAAACAATTCATCAAAAGACCAAGAATTCACATTCTCCAACACAGGCCTATCAACTTCATCGAGGGTAATCATATTCATGGAGGGTGCACCATGTGGAGGTAAAGGATTCTGAGTGATGCTTGGAGCACTCTTAGTTTCATCAAGTTGGAGTTTTCCTTCATCAATGAGATCTTGAATTTTATGTTTCAGAGTTGTACAATATTCGGTACCATGACCTGTTACATTATGATATTCACATTTAGCTTGTGGATCATACCCGTAAGGGTAAGGTGGTTGCACAGGGCTTGCTTGTACTGTCCCCATCAAACCCACTGCCACTAATTGTTTTAGCACCTCACTATAAGGGATTCGAAGCTTGGTGAACTGTCTCGACCTATTTGTCGAGGGGAATTGATGTCTAACTGGAGCATGAGCATTGGAGTTTGGCCTTCTTTGAGGGTAGGTGGTAGACTTGAAGATCGGAGTGTGCTGTAATTGAGGCTGCCGATTGTAAGGAACATTTGCCATATTATAGATTGGCTTGGCATGACTAGTGAAAATGTGATTCAAAGCTTCCTCATCTTCCTTCTTCCCTTTAGATGAGAACCTCTTTGAAGTAGATCCCGAGCTTCCCATCTTAACTTGCTCTAATTGCCTCTGGATAGTTTGAAAGTCCATAATAATACCCACCTTTAGTCCTTCCTCATTCTGTTCACCCGCTATCACTAACTGAGCAAAAGTATATCCAACACAAGGAGCTAGCCATGCACGGAAGGTTCCGGTAGTTGACTTGATAAAAAGATAGCAGATTTCACTGTCGGTAAGAGGTGGAATGACTTTGGCTGCTTCAGATCTCCACCGTTGAGCAAATTCTTTGAAAGTCTCATTACCTTTCTTGGCGATTCTTTGCAAGCTATCCCTTGTTGGGGCCAAACTCATATTGTACTCATACTGCCTCATGAAAGCTTGAGACACATCCTTGAAAGTGTGAATCTTCTTCTTGTCAAGAGTAGAGAACCAGATACTTGCTGGGCCTGACAGACTATCTTGAAAGTAATGAATGAGTACCCTTTCATCATTGGCATAAGGTGCCATTTTCCTAGCATACATCTACAAATAGGCATAAGGACAACCTGAGCCATCATACTTGTCAAAATTCGGCTGCTTGAACTTGAAATTTGTCTGAATTCCTAGATAGTAGCAGAAATCATCCAAATCAATGGAACCATAAACTTGTGGCCCTTGCATAGCCTTTAGAGCCTCCTCCAACTGTTGCAACTTGTGATCGACCTCTCTTGACTTCCCATCCTCCATAGTAGGCCTCAATATCTCAACCAAAGGGTTGGTTTGAATAGCTGGCACTTGTCCCATCAAAGGTGGTATGGTTGTGGGCAAGGTTGGGTTGTTCATCTCAAGTGGTGGGTATGATACTTGTGGAGCATGTGAAGATGACTCCCCCATTAGAAGCTGATTCTCATAAATAAGTGGAAATTGTAATTGTGTGACCATGGGATCCTTGGCACGATTACCCATTGTAATGGTAGATGATGGGATAGGGACAGGTGGGACTGGTATTGCGGGTACTAAGGATGTAGGTGAAGGAGGAGAACCAGTAATCAAAGTGGACAAAGTGATACTGATGGTCTGAAGAGTAGCAGCAATAGTTTGCATCGTCGCTTCCAATTTATCAACCCTCTCATCCATGGCTGATTTCTCTGGATTAACAGTAATGTTTTCCTCCGACATTTTGATTACTTTCGATCTGAGCAAATACGGAGAACGCCGCTTTTTGGAGACCTTTCGCCATGGAGCTATGATTAGAAGAATTTTACCTACACAAAAGAAATGTAAAAATAAAAGGAACAAAGTTAGAAAACTAAAGAGACTTTAACCCCTTTTGATTAGACCATTAATTTCCTTCTTGAATTTCCATATGGGTTCTCACATCGGCATTTCCATCTTGTACGAAGACATCCACCTATTTTATAATGAGTTATGCTGAAACATGGCTTTTCATTACTAAATTACCGCACTTGAAACAAGATTAGCGAGCATTACAAAGTTGCATTCAAAGTGCTTACAAACCTTCATTCTTTGAAAGCTAGGACAAAACTAACTAAGGAATGCACTTTAGACAAGATGGGCAAGCATTACAAAGTTGCATTCAAAGTGCTTACAAGCCTTCATTCTTTTAAACCTAAAACATACTCATTACAAAACATGAATCCTAATACAGCCTTCTGAGCATATTGGACATGTCAAAGATAAAGTCGAAGACTAGTTGGAAGAATCCCCTCTCAATCAGATGGGTCCTTTGAGCGATGTGGTGATGAGTCTCTGCCATTCTTCCCTCGAATTGGGACACCAAGGTGGCTATGTCAATGATAATTTCACACAGGCCAATGTCCTCTTCAAGAAGGGCTTGGTTCTTTTGCTTCTTGACTTGGAGTTGATAGCACATGTCCTCCATGGCAATCTTGTAAAGATTACGGTTGATAGTCATGTCTTGTAGTTGCTCTTCCAAATGCTTATTGGCTTTGCAAAGGTCTTCATTGTCCTTTGTTAACTCATGCAAATAGGAGATGGTTTCTTCATTGAGCCTTTGAGTACGAGCAACGAACTCTAACAAAGTCTTGGGTGAAGAAGCTTGTGCCTTGGATGTGTGAGAAGCCATATTTCTTTTCAAAGGTCACAGATGGTCTAAACAAAAGGGGCTAAACACAAAATGACCAAATAAAGATATTAATAAGAGGATGATCAAAGATTATAACTAACGATAAGTGTAATTGAATAAAAATGGATATGTGATATGAGACTTGAAAATTAAAATTTCCATTCTAATCATGGATTTTACTTCATCAGATATACTTTTGACAAGGAAGAAGGATTGTATTCATTCAAGCAAGTTTTCATTGACAAATCTGAATTTCTGACATTCGTACAAAAGCTCCTAAGTAACCCATTTTTCCCCACGTTCTTCAAGTTGTGCTCTCCTTCTTTCCTTGCTTTGATTGCTTTGCTGCTTGCAATTCCTTTTGTAGAGCATCATAATCAGACAATAGGTTGCTGTAAGCATTCCTCCACTTAATCACTTTTCCTTTCAACTCTTGCTACCTGGTCACCTTCTCAATAAGCTCCTTGTTCTCCTTTTCTCTTGCTTTAAGATTCGCCTTTACTCGTAGCAACCTTTTCCTTTGTTCTTCAGCAAAATTCAAGCTCCTCTTTTGCTTCCCACAAATTTCCTTACTAGCAGCCAAATCCTTTTCCAATGAGGCAATCTTGTCCTTCAACTCCACCACTTGCCGATCTGACAACTCTTTTCCCCTTTTAAGCAACTCATAATCAAGAGCTAATTCATCATACTTCTCTAACAACTGACATCTCTGGGCATGGCTAAGCTCCAACTTAGCGGTTAAATCCATGATGGTAGAGTTTTTCGTATTTGTCACCTTCCATGGCAAAGAGAGCTTAGCTATCCAACTCGACCTCCATTGCTCATATTGTGATCTAGTCCCCTTATCCTTCCATATGGGCAGCATCCTACATCTCTCCCACATCTTATGTGCCTCGAATACCTTGTTAACAATCACCGAGGAAGACATGTAATCAAAGTGTGACTGCAATGCATCATCAAGATAGGGAGCGTTTTGTGCCTTTCCAAACTGACGGGATGCCAACTCCATAGAATATAGAACTCCTCCATGAATACCCAACAAAGGAATAGAGTGATGTCCTTCGAATGGAGCAAGATAATGAGTAGCACTCCAAGTTGGGAGAACAAATCTGACATCATTAACAGTTGTTGCTAGAAGTGATCGATGCCAATCCTCTGTCTTTCTATCCTTCACAGGAATGCTGAATAAAGCTTCAAATTGGGGACCCTTCAAGTGACCTTGTGCCCATGTAGTGAACAACTCAATGCAACCCAAGAAGCGACCAGATCCTTTAGCTCGGATTTCTTTCATAGACCACAAAGTTTCGGCTACCACTGTAGAAGCGGGATTAAATGCCGAAGTGTGCAACAATTGCTCAAAAAAAGCTATCACCATAGGTGCAATGGTCTTGACATAGATAGGGAAGATCACCATGCCATAAATTCCCAACACCACAAACTTGATCCTTTGAGAAGGTGTCATAGCTTCCAATCTCTTTCCCGAAGCCATCAATGTTGCATTCCAATCAAATCCATAAGAACCATCTCTAGTTGTCACCAATGGTCGCGAGAATTCAGATGAAAACCCCCCACATAGCTTGCAACATTTCTTGAACTTTTTCTAGTGTGAACTTCATATGTTGTGCTTAAGGAGTGAAGTTAGGAGAATCCGCCGCAGGACTACACTGTAGGAAGTGATGGTACTCATCAATGGTGAGCACCAACTCAAATTGTGGGAACACAAAAGCTTGATATTCTGGTACATAAAATTTCAACATGGCTCTGAACAAGTTCCAATCTGGCATCACTGACAATAGATCTCCAATGCACCCAAATCGGACCTCAAAGTCATGCTTCTCCCTTGAAGACAACAAACCGTAAGCCTCTTTCAAAAACTTCAAGTCGGGTTTGGAGGTATTGACTGAAAAGATTGACTCCTTAGCTCTCTTAGCAGTAGAATTAGATGTGACATCTTCACCAAGTCTCTTCCCTTATCTAGTTGTATCCTCAGTAAAATCCATGTCTAATGCTTGATCTTACCTAAACAAAAGGCTTAAAGAAGTTAAACAAAAATCATACCCTCACATGCCATACCTCATTAAATGTACCAAAATAAGCTGCCATATGCGCAAACAAAGGTTAGTGAAGTAAAATGTCCCTTTGTGTCTTAGACACGGGATTCCTAACCTCATGGGTGGGATGTTAAGGGAAACATATCCTAGGGTTGGTATCTCTCTAAGGTCAATACATGTTTTTCTAAAGGGCATTAGGCTTTCTCAACCATTTATCCTCTCGGAATCAACGGGAGATACTTCCAAAAGCTAATACACAGGACGATATTACATCATCAAGTGTCGTATTAACCAGTGGAAACAACCTAATGGGAAACGGTCCTACTCCTCAAAGCGGGAAGAATTGCTCTTCCAAGCCAGATTCGTAAGGATTCCAGACTAGAGGTCGGGTTCACCTCCGACACGGGCCTAATGCACAATGAGAGTGGGTGTGTGTAAAGCGGCATGACACTTCAATAACCTGCATAATGGCAACCACAAAATAGCAACATATATCCCACGGCAATCAAATAAAGCATATAAAACACTCAAAAATATATCACCCACAAACAAACCTACTTACACAGCAGGAAAGGACTAACCTAGTACTCCCATGCCAAATGCAAAAGGTTAGTAACACAAAGCAACCAACACTTAGCATACAAAAAGATGTAAATAATCGCACAAGAGGGAAGAGACTCACTGAGTACTCCATAGCCAAGTGCAAAAGGTGAGTATATCCACACACAAGCAAATAGGCATGTAAGCATGATGCATGATGAATAAGCATATAATATCAATGATGGATGAGCATGTGAGATGATATGATGCATGAACATGTGAGCAAGGTATGATGCATGTTATGATATAGCAGACTAACCACTTAAACATAAAAACAGAAAAGCAACCACCAAAACAAACAAACAAGTGACAAACAACACACAACAAGCACATGCAATAAATGACAAAAACCCACAAAAACTCAACAAACAAAGAAAATCAAAAGTTGAAAATTCCTCAAGGTTAAAGTATTAGCTCGACCCTTGTGAACCCAGAATATGGAAACCAGAGATTCTGGGTTTAATGTCCCCAGTGGAGTTGCCAATCTGTTGACGATCACTTAAGATTTTTCAAAACAAATGAAAAATTAAGTGTGAAATATATAAGAAAAAGGGAGTCACCACTCGTCCAAATTATAAGGTGGGACAAGTCACCTAAAACAAGTCTGCGTAGAAATCGAAGTTCGGGGGTTCGGTTAGGAGTGAGAAAGGGCATACGTGCACCTCACAATCCTCCATTTAAACACGGTTGCATACTTTAACATTGGGGGTTTTGAATCAACTTATTCATCATGCTTATGTTTGAGTCTTAATAGGTAAGTTTGAAACAATGATAAGCCAAATTGAAACATTTTTAAAATTTTGGACTAAAATGGACCAAATCAAAGACAAGCATGCATCCTAAGTACAAAATAAAATTAAAGGGACCAAATTGATTAAATTTGAAAACATAAAGGATTGATTTAAAAAGATTTAAAAACTTTGGGACTGAATTGCTTAATCATAAAACTTGTGGATGAAATTGAGATAAAATAAAAGATGACTTTGACTTTGACCAAGATTAAAGTTAATT